CACTTCAGTACAGAATTTCACTGCAATGATCGTTCTCCATTACACTGCTCTCTTTCATAAATCTCGTAATCACTTACCTTGCAATGTCTCATTCATTTCCATCAAAGATCGTAAACCCAAACCACCAAGAGTTAGTGGTTTCTTGAACTCATTCCGTGCTACCAGATGATATTTTTTCATCTTCTACATCTCTCCAAAGGAATTTGCTTTGGATAGTTTCTAACTTATTGGGCTACACTCACCGGAATTGTCAAAAATGGACATATTACTCATAAGTAACTTGTCCAAAATACTTTTTAATAAGTGTGAGTCTTCCTCCTTTGGAAAAAGGCTCCGCTTCCCCCCTGCAAGTCTTTGTTCAAACTTATTTACCATCGAGTCTCAATTATAATTTGCGCCCAGAGGCAAGCCTAATAGGTAAACTAACCGTTCAGAACTCTTGCCAAACCATCTGAATCTCTCTTACTTCCCAATTCCACCATCTCTAATTTAGCACAGTTGACATTGAGTCCTGAGACCGCTATGAAACCTATCAGAACACATTTGAGATTAAGCATGACTCCCTTATCTGGCTCACAAAAAAGCTAAGAGTCATCAGCAAAGAACAACTGAGTCACCTCCTCAACATTATTCCTCACACTCACTTTTATGCCTCTGAACAAATTTCATTTGCTGTTTTTTATCAACATTTTATTTAAAACTTCAATGACCACGATGAAGAGCAAAGGGGATAGTGGGTCCCCCCACATGAACCCTCTAGAAGCCTAGAAGAAAGAGATGGGCCTCCATTAATAATAACCAAAAGATGCTATAAGTAACACAACTAAACCCAACCCCATCATTTCTCCGCAAAGCTCATCCTCATTAGTATATAGTACATGAAACTCTAATTCACACGATCATACGCCTTCTTCATATCAAGAATGCACAGTTTCCCTTCCATTTTACTATTCACCAACTTGTCTACAACTTCATTGTCAATTAACTCAGCATCAAGTATTTGTCTCCCACCAACAAAAGCATGCTGACAGTCTTCAATCAACTTGTCTATGATCTTAGCCATTCTCCTTGCTAGGGCATTGGCTATCAACTAGTAAATACGCTCAACAAGGCTTATGGGCCTAAAGTCCTTAATATTGCATGCTCCTCCAATGTTAGCAATAAACACTAAAAAGGAAGAATTAAGAGACTTTAACAAAAGACTCAACTTCATATAACTCCTGAAATAGCTCTATGACACCCTCTTCATCAACTGCCAAAATTCCTACAGGAAACCCATATTAAAACTATCCAGACCTGGTGTCTTGTCTCTTTTGCATGCCTTTAGATCCTCAAGAATCTTCTCCTTAAAAAAGCCTCTTTCTAATTACAGACTGCTAGATTCATCCAGGACCCTAAAGTTGATGTCATCCAATTCTCATCTCCAGTCAACCTCTTCCTTATAGAGCCTGCAAAGATAATCTCTAGTTTCCTTCCTTAACTGCTCATCGCCTTCCACCGCACTGCTAGCGATCACCAAGGACACCAAATTATTGTTTTTCCTATGATGATTGCCAAACAACGAAATAACCTAGTATTGTGATCCCCTTCCTCAATCCAACAAGCTCCTGACTTCTGTCTCCAAGATATCTTCTCCATCTGATGTCTGGTGGCTGCCTTAATCTTAAAGGATTCCCTCCAAGCAATATCTACCGTAGTCGAGGCCCCGCCTCCTCTTCTATCAATCTCCTCAATTTCCTCAAGCACTGGCTTCGTTTCTATTTCATGTTTGATTCCCTCCTCCCTACACCATTTCTTGATTTCCAATTTAATAAATTTTAACCTCCACACTACTCTGAAGCTTGCCTTCCCTCCTGAATTAGTTGCCTCCTACTCAACCTTTACCCTACCTTGAAATCTTCAACTTTCAACCATTTATCATCAAATTTGCATGGACATAAACTAATATAACTTTTTTGGAAAATCCATTTG